TTAACATATCTTAGTTTTAAAGAAAAAATAAGAGAAGACAGTATACATGTGCAATCATGTTACATTAAAATCTTACACCCCTCGTCAAGCCTAATATTCATCCCTCCCTCCCCCTCCCTCAGCCTTCCCTCCCCCGAGGGATTCTAACGGCAGCTCCTGTCCTTCGCGGTGGGCAGTTCTGAATGCAGCCCCCCTCCCCAGGCTTCCTACCTGCCCCTCCCTCCTCCAGCTGCCACGAGCCAGCCAAGGAAATTCTCCCCGGGCTCCTTCTGAAGGCTTTTCCCCTCTGGCCTTCCCCCACCCACCCACCCGCCTGCCCCAGCCCTGTGGGACCCCTGCCAACAAGAGTGCTCACCTGCAGGATGCAGCTGAGTCCGAAGACGACGGGGCGATGCTGGGGGCACAACAGGAGGTCGCTGAAAGGGCTGGCGGAGGAGTTTCCCGCAGCCGGCTGGGGAGTCGGGGTGGAAGGGAGCGCGGGGGCTGCCTGAGAGGGAAGGTGGTGAGCCGGATGCCCACCGCTGGCGTCCAACAGAATGGCGAGGCGGCGGGTGCAGAAGTAGGCCAGGCGCCTGGACAGGTAGGCGGACTGCACAAACTCACTGGAATACTGCGGGGGAGAAAAATGGCGTCCGCTCAGCCCCAAAGCCCACTCCTCTCTGGGGCCTCGCAACGCCACCAGACACTCCCAAACCCAGCGCACCAGCTTCCATGCTCTGGGCCGCTGCAGTGACGTCGGCTGCTCATCCAGCCCTCCCTTCCGTAGAGTTTTACTCCCGCATTCCCCTTCCAGCCCTGGAGTTTCCAGCAGGACCTTCTCCCGAGTTTGCCTGGGGACGGGGGGTGGCTGACCTGCAGGAGCAACGGAAGGAGCAGCTTCAGGAGCTCGTCTTCGCCCGGCCGAATCTTCTCAAAGCACTCCAGCACCCAAGTGAGGAACTCGTGCCGGTCCAGCATCCCGTCCTGGAAGGTGCAGACAGAGGCCCACTGAGAAGGCCGGGGGCTGTGGGTATGGGGGCTCGGCTCGCCCATACTTCCACCCACTTCCCCCTCTCCCTACAAGGGGACCCCACCCTAACCCCCTCCCCGCTGTCACCTGGAACATAAACATGGCCAGCTTCTCATTGTAGTCCCACTGCTTGACCGAATGCTCCACCTCCTGGGGCATGATGCTGGAAGGCGAGCCGCAGGCTTGGGCCAGCAGCTGCCGGTGGAAGTCGGCGATCTTCTGCAGCTGCTCCCACAGAAACTTGGTAATGATCTGTGTCCACTCTAGAAAGGGAGGGCAGCCGTCAGTGGCCGGGACGGGGAGGGGCCTGCTGTGGGACTCAACATGCAGAGGGGGCAAGAGAGACCAGGGATAGCAGAGAGGGGAAGGGTGGGGGAGAAAGCCAGACCGTCCTGGTGATTTGGGGAGGGGGCGGCAGAAATGGCTGCCATGGGAGGAGGCTGAGAGAGACCCATTTGGAGGCCGGAGCAGCAGCCCTTACCGCTGAAGGGGTCAATGACATGCCGCTTCTTCACCTTCGTTTCCGTAATGGCAGCGTAATAGGCACAGGTCATCTTGATCAACCAGGCAGCTCTCATCACGGGCACTGCGTACTTGGCCAGGTAACTAAAGATCTCCTCCTTCTTGCTGAAGATGGGCACCTGCCGGGGAGCAGAGCAGGAGGGGCCCCGATTCATACACAGTTTGGTCAGAGACCTAACGAGGAGGATGGCTGGGAAACCAGGCCCTTCCCCTCTCGACCGGTGAGGTTGTTGGTTATTTTAGCAGTTAGCAGTTAGACTTATATAGCGCTTCATAGGGCTTTCAGCCCTCTCTAAGCGGTTTACAGAGTCAGCATATCGCCCCCACAGTCTGGGTCCTCAT